ATTCTTCTGATCTTTTTAAAGCCATGAATAAAAGGACAGTTGTCTTCTTGCCTTAGGCAGAACACAAATTATAAAAAGAAATTTACAAGGAAACTTTAATAAATCAGGCAAATAGTAAAATTTCATCATTCTTCTTTTCAATACAAAGTTTTTTTTTTTCCAAATATAAAGTTTTTCATTAAGCATGTCCTTGAACACTGGACAAAGTGCAGCTCTGTTTTAGAGTACCTGCAAAAAATCATTTCCTCTATAAATCACTTGGGTGATTATAACTACATAATTGTGTACTTTGCAGAGAAACGGCTTTTAATTGTATGGACTGTCACTTTGAAAGAGAGTAGAGAGGGGAAAGGAAATGGAAAGGAACTCGATTCTCAAAATCTGTACAATTTTATTTTTTATACAGTTGTAACTTTACTGTAAAAGAGTATTTAAACATGAAATTTACTAGTAATTTATTATTAACTTTACCAGAAAATCCATACAAGTCTTTGTCAGTGTATTTGGATCCCTAGTATATGAAAACACTCACCTTGCATATTGTTCTAAAGTTGAACTGTACCACTGAACTGGCCGGTTAGGCAGATCTTTGAATGGATCTTGACAGGGATATACTTCTTGTATTTCCTTTGTTTTTTTCCCCACCCTTGATTTCATGCTCAAGTGTGGTGATTTATACTCCAGGGCACTGTGCCATCCAGAATAGAAGAGGTCAGTGTGGTAGCATTTCATAGCTTTGCTTTTATCCACAAAGCCCTGCCACCCGCTACCCGTGACTCATGCGTCTGCTGGTGTTCCTGATAGCAGAACGTTTTGATTAGCTGTGCAGAGTACCTGCTCATTATTCTCATCCTGTCCACGTGTGCATGTGCTGATGCGTGTGAAATCTAGAGGCCCCAGCCAGTGCTGAAGCATAATCCTATCTAGGCCAGGAAGTGCCTGGCTGCCCAGATACTTCTCGGAGCAATAGGGCAGATACTGAATCTCTCACTTCCTTCCTGTCCTCTGTTCCATAACACCTATGGCCCATGTGGGTGTTTGATACACTAATCCAGCTCTCTTTCCATTGTTAAGAGAGTCTATAGAAAACAAATTTGTGATAAAATATCTTTAGGCCCATCATTATGGATTGATGAGGCTACTGATGGGTGAGTTGCCATAAAGATAATTTATTACAATAAATGTACCTCTTGTAAATCTTTGATCTAGGTCTTCTAGACCTTGGACAGGTCAATTTGTCCCAGTTTACTCCTTTGTAAAAGTGAGGCAATAAAGTACCAATTGCATATGAGTTCTGTGAAGATGGATATAAGACATGGAGAGCAGGTATGAGATGGACGTATGAGGCATGGGGCAGGCACTCTTCCCATTGGCATTCGGGGTAGTAGGAGAGCACAGTAGGCTTTTTTTTCTCTGAGGGATTAAAGACTTCATAAATGGCAAGAATAGGATAAGGAGACAGACCAAAATGGGTTCAAACTAAAGGAATTTGCATTTAAAAAGAATCTGGGGAATGCAGTATTTCTTGACCACAGTGTTTCCTTCTTGTGGAGAGGAAAAGATGGACTGATCCACGATATATCTGCACACCGTGTGCCACCCAGCACTCGTGCACTCCTACCCAGTGCAGCTGCTGTAACCCTTGAGCTGACAGACATTTCTAGAGCTTCACATTGAGGCATCTGTGTAGATTGCCTTTTTCCTAATCATTTAACTAGAAGTTATATTTCTATGCCATGGCAATATCTGCTTTATTTTTGCTGGTTTTACAATCTTTAGTGCCATTTTCCTTATAGAATCGCCAACATTATTTTAGTATATTGAAATTATTATTATAAATGCTGGATTGTACAGATATACCTGGAGTTCACATTTTGGTATTTGCTTTCTTCCACTTATTAAGCCAAGCATTTACAATCATGATTTGCAGTTGGAAGGACCATGTATTTCAAACTATGGTATTTGTAGGAGTTCTACCCCTGGAAATCTCCTAACCTGTTTCACATATCAGTTTTTGAGTGGCTTTTATGAGAGATGAAAATTAGGTAATTTTATAAACTTTCTACATACCACTTATAAACTAGCTGGCAAAATAAAGCCTATTGAAAGAATGGGTGAAGGATATAAAAGATAATAAACAGTTCCCAGAAGAAATACTTTATAAGATCGCAAACACAACAATCTCTTCAGTCTTACGCTAATCAAGAAATGAAAGGAAAAAGATCTCATTACTCCATTTTTAACATATCAAATTGGGAAGATATTTTTCAAAAATGAACCTTTCCTTTCATGTGCAAATCTTCCCTTGTTTGTTTGTTTTAGGCAACTGTGGGCCTAGCACTCACATTCTGACCTGTGAAAGCCCAGCATGTGTTGAGGGCGAGCTTCTGGATCCTGGCAAAGTAAAATGCAGGATGAAGGGTGGTTATCTTGCCCCTGCTGAAACCTCCACATCAGCCTCAGACATTCATTCTTTCTCCCTTTTCTGTTTGTGCCTGAGTGTGAGTGTATGTGTATGTGAGAGAGGGAGAGAGAGAGAGAGAGAGAGAGAGAGAGAGAGAGAGAGAGACACCGAGAGAGAGAGAGACACCTATGCCAGACAGAGGGCCTTTCCCTGGCCCACAGGGAAAGGGTGGTCCCACAGAGAGACTCTTCCCTGAAGGGCATGGTCAGGTCTTTATTATTCAGAATGGTGATCCTTTGCTTATCATGTTTCTGGATTGTTGTGTTCCTTTCTACCAGGTGTTAAATCAAAGGAAGCGAAAGTTGGTTGTTTGGTGACAGCAGACTTTATGGAAAAATAACTTTCAACTTTCAAGACAATATGAGATGGTAGTGTATGTTTTAAATACTACTGACCTGACCGATGTCCTCATTTCCTTGTTGCCGTTCAGTTAATTATCACTCTGTTCCTCAGTACTGGCTCTGTTCTTGCTCTTGGCTCTCCAAATGTAAGCTTGAGTTTCAGCAGTAGATACTAACTCAATCTCTTCATTGTAGGTGTTTGTTAAGTAAGTTTTAGGGCAAAATGTTGAGGTCTGGGAGTTTAGAGACCTGTTTCTCTGATGCCTCTATAGCTGTGTGTGTGTGTGTGTGTGTGTGTGTGTGTGTGTGTGTGTGTGTGAGTGTGTGTGTATGTGCACATACACACAGGTTCTGCTACTTCCTGTGTGACTGTACATTAAACACTTAACTGTTTTGAATCTCAATTTCCTGATCTGTAAAATGAGAGTTGGATTAATCAATCCCTATGGTCTTTTGAATTCTGTGAGTCTGACAGACATTTTTATTCAGTGATTTGTTACAAACATGAGCCAGGTGTAAATACTTTTCAAATATATTTTGCCCCTGGATGGTTCACACCCTAATAGTTAAATCATTTAAAGCAGCAGTGATGAATCTTTCAGATGCAAACTGCCTGTTGTGGCATGTGTGTCTTATATTCACCACAACTGATTTAAAGGTTTTATTCTGATTCAAAACAGCATCCTTTCTTAATCATTGAGGTGTCTGTAATTTACTTAGTGGGGGCACAGAATGCTTTTATACTATGTTTGGAATTAGATGGAGTGATGTGTTTTTAGAGCAACTACAGTATACAGAGTGAAACAGTGTGGAAGACCTGTACAGATGATACTTCCTTATTTGCAGAAGATTTGTTCTTTTTTCTTATGTTTGAGATGATCTAAATAAAGAGATTTCATTTCATTTGTGGTATGGATTCTCTATCCCAGTACTCTTTACTTACCATCTTATCCTGTTCAAAGAAGCTGCCAAATGGTGCTTAAATATTGATTATACATGGTTTAGCATTCTAATTTATCACACAATTTAATGGGGCCAGGCTGTCACGTTGCATATAAGAGCAGTCCCTTTCCATTTGTCCATGCAAACTGCCAGTGCATCCGTGTTGTAGAAAAGCTTCTGGCTTCTCCCATCTGCAGTACTGTGATTGCCCTGGCACATATGTTTGGACTTGGTGGGTGTGTGGCGCTAGCACATGGCTTTCCCAGCCATCTCTGGTCATTGAGAGAAGGGGGTGCCTTTCTGTGTTTCCTTCAGTTTTTTATAGATATGGAGTTTTATAATTTTAAATAGTAGTCAAAATATGACTATTAAATTCTAGAGTTTACTTTTTTATATGACTTGCACTGTGACATTTCTGAGTACTTCATGAAAAATGATCTCCTCCTCCCAAGAACAGTATAAGCATCAGGTATAGTAAAACCAGGCTTTTTTACACCCTGGGCAGGGGCCACATCCCTCCAACATGTGTCCCCATCAAGGAAAGTCCACCTCCACATTCACTGTACTTCACAGGAGCACATGCACCCATAGCCAAGACCTGCGAGATCTCATGCACACTATTCTTTCTCCCTCTGAGCTCTGGAGTGTTCTCAGATTACAGGACTTCTCTGGGCTTGAGTCACTTGATTAAAAGTGGAAGCCCTGTTTAATCCATAAAACACCCTGTAACGGAAAATGACTGAATCAAGTTGGTTTAAAAATGAATTCTTTATGGTCTCTTATTATTTTGTTGGGGTTTTGACATGTTTTGGTAGCTCTCAGATGGAAGAAGCCAAGGAAGGAGATTATTTCCTAGGTGAAAATCAGGTAAGATTTGGATTCTATCTCTGCCCTCATCTAACTAATGGTGTGATTTTTGGTAAGTTGTCTAACTTCCTATGCTTCAGTTACCTGTGAGGCAGATTGCTGCTTACCGTCTTAGCTGAGTCTTCTGAGAATAAGACAAAATATTGCTGTATCTTGAAAATATTAAAGCCATAGTGATTGCCTAAAACAGCCTAGCATTAATATGAAATAGATACCCTTAATAACTATGTGCAAAGTTAAATTTACAGGGGTCATAGTTGGGCTATTATCTCTTCAGTTTAAAAGTTTTCTGTAGCAAACTTTGAGCCCAGGCTGGAATTTATACCAGATTCTGGTTGTATTCATACTGAACAAGTTGGAGATTTAAGTCTGTTCTTTGGTTCCAGAAGATTCCAGTGTCAGAACTGGATGTTCACTGCAGGCTTTGGCTGGAATGACATTTCAGTCATCAGTCTGACTGGAGCATTCTTTATCAGCTTGCACTTCAAGGGAGGTGGAAACAGCCATCCTGCTTGTTGGGCGGACATCTGCCTGCTCAGATACCGTGTCTCCCTGAGGATCCCTCTGGGAGACCTACTGGGCTCCCTGGGCTGGAGACCGGGAGCCCTTGCTCGGCTCGTTTCCCACTCATTGTGCAACCTCGGCTCTATCGCTGGACAGGCCTGGCAAGGAAGTGAGGAGGAAGCCAGTGCCACTGCTGGTTCAGAATGTTCCAGTGTGGTTGGAAAGTTTGAGAAGCGGCTTGGGTGAGAAGAACAAGATCTCATTGACAGAGTTCAGTGCTGGTCAGGTCTGGTTCACATCAGCTTTCTAAATAATCACAGATCTCCCACCCCAGAGAGCTCTAGCACAGTCACCTCTGCTATTTTTTTTTTTTTTTAACATTCTGTACAACTGTGGAGGAACACAAAGCATTTCCCATTTTTATTCAAAGAGAATTCTAAAGCATGGAAAGTATAGTGGTGTCTACTTCAAAACAACACAAAAGCATACAACTTCATGTTTACTAGGGCTTTCCAACCTATTGTTGAGATACGATCCTTATTTCAAACATTTTTCCACTGAGCTGTTCATTGATTGATTTAAAAGACTACTGATTACTTGAACATTTGAGATGGTCATGATGGCTAACCTGCTTGTCCTGGCCTGAATCAGTCATCCTTATGATCTGAGTTAGCACAGTGATGAAAAGGCCAGACACTTTTTCTTCTTCACAGGAGCCTATGAACCAGAATATTTATGTCAAAGCATCAGAAGAAAATCTGCTGGGGATACAAAATGTATCCCTTGCTTTCCCTGCCTAGTCATTTGGCCTGAATTTCTGCAGGACTTCTGCATTACTGTTGCAAGCACTCGCTTGGCAGTCTTGTCATTTTCATGACCCATAGTGTGTGTGTCACTAGTTTCAGCTTTAGATCAGTGAGTCTTGCTTTGTTTTTCTTTTTCCTGAAATAACTGGTTGGAATTGAAGCTCAGTGGAATCTTTTCAGTTTTTTCAAACTGAGGAAATCCAGACACTCCTAACTACTTCTGAGGACATACATTTCCAGTAGTTAGAGTTTTATGTTCATGTCTGGGTGGCATAAATCTGGAGAGGAGACTCTCCAGGGATAAAAACAGAAGAATACTTACAGGATCTGTTGTAAAATAGGGACCCAACTCTTGTTCTGAGGGAGGCTGGTGACTTTTCACAGTATCTCTAGAATGGGTAATATCACAACTTTTGACTTCTTGGTAGTTTAATTAGGTATCTCACACACTTTCTTTCCCTTAAAAATGGTGCAAAGAATATTGTTTAACTAGAAACTCTACTCAGAAATTTTAAAAACAATTATTGAAAACCAGTTGAGAACCTCTGTGTTTCATCAGATGCTTTCATCTTCAGTTAGTAATTAACTACATGATTTAATATTAATGCAAATAAAGTATTTATTATTAAATAAAAATTAATATCCTCATTTTTATTAAATTCATATGTGTATGCCCATAATGTGCTGTGAGCATGCAGATGCGATTTCTTTCCCATCCCCGTACACACACATACACCTTAAAACTTTTTATCGCCTCTCTGACTTTCTGGAATCCTGGAGGTTAGCAATACCTAGAACCTCTGCAGATGGGCTCAGCTTCAATAATTCTAACTTGCTGTCTTCTCTTGCCTGTTCCTCTACCTGTCCTTCCCTCTCCCTAGCCACCTAACTCTTACTGCATCTCAGAGATTCCTGTTTCACTCCCCACTCTGTCATATTTCTGTTGGGTGTTCCTGCAGCACCCCAGCATTCTGCTTTGTGCACATATGTGCATATTTCATATGAGTAGTAAAGGGCAGAAGGTAAAACCAAGTCCTCTCTGTTGCCTCCTATTACTTCCCTTGGTTGCTGCATCTTCCTGAGTCTTCTGTGGAGCTCAATAAATTACTGTTGGAAAAATACTCTCTGAAGATAACACCATATGTGTTTATTGTCATCTTAGGTACTTTTATTTTGGTTATCAGCATCCTTAATTTTTTGTTAGAGTAGTCTTTTATGTGCTTTTCTCAAAAGTCTTAGTCCAGTCTCTGCTATCCACCATGGGTCTGACGCTTCCCAATTTTCCTTTTCTTTCAGGATGGTTCCTACTTGGCTGAGTTCCTGTTGGAGAAGGGCTACGAGGTGAGTGACTCAGTGGTGTACTGGGCGGTGTGATCAGTAGGACATGGCGGCTTCATGCTTCCTCTGCTGCGGTCCTCTTGTGTGTGTTTTTCATGGAAACTCTGATAACAAATCAGAATCCAGGGAAGACTATGCTGCTGGGCCTATGGTCCTGCCAGCTCATTGTGCTGTTTATCTGCTTGTGAGCCTTGGTGGCTCAGCTGCTCCACACACCTCCCCCTCTCTCCTTTAGATAAAGCAGCAGCCTGTACAAGCCAAGCTGCAAAATTTATGATGTAATGTGTTACATAAAAATGTTCCACTCATGGTGAAGTCACTTAATTTGGAAATTGCACAGAGCAATAAAAATGAAGCTGATTGTTGGCAAGCTTGAATGAAAAATTTACACTTGGAGGTTTTTGCCTTCTAATGGGCAGCCATACATATCATAGAAGCTGAAAGTTTTAGATTTGTTGCTGCTGTCGTCGTCATCTTTTTCTTTTCTTTTAACATTTTCTCCTTTCCTTAACAAGAAACAGGGGTTTTTAATATTAAATGTGATGCAGTTTGGTATGCACACTGCTTTTTTTTAGAGAGTCTTAAGATATTTGCTTGTGTATAAATTTACAGAGACTAAAAACCTACACAATGGTCCATGTGCTCTGACTTGCTTTGCCTGGTCTTATATATTGATAGCTTTGCCTTGTGTCTTTATTCCAGTGGTAGGAATAGTGTATAAAAATGTGCAGTTGGGACAAATGGAAAAGCAACAACAAGGAATGCAGTATCCAATGAGATTTTGTAAAAATGAAAATTAATTGTCTTACTGTATTGTTTAAAGAATAATGGTAAGAAAAATCCAGAAAAGATCAGCTTCAAAATCTTACCTGATAGCTTTGACTTTTAGACTTTAAAAGTCATAGTAGATGTGTGTAGCACCGTTTTACTCTTATCTAATTCTACATCTTGTAATATCAAAAAAAGGCAAACATTTATGAATGTATGTATGTGTACATGAATACATTGCTATGATAATTGAGGATATAAATGTGTATTCTACAGAGAAGAGAGTTTTAGAATCAATCATATGTAGTTCAGAAGAGTGGATTTAGGAGAACATTCAGGCAATATAAACCTTTTAATGCTTTTAAATATTGAAAGAATGACAGAGGGCATCTGCAGAATGTGTGGATCCTGCTGGAGACAGCCAGGAGCTGGTGCAGTGGTCAAGGTACAGGTGAAGCAGGAGAAGGGGCCAGCTGCACAGTGGTGGTTGCAGCTTGAAGAGGGAAGTAGTGTGACAGCAGCACGCTCCAGCTGCCTGAGATCTTCTTTGACATGGACACGGAGGGTTGAGAGCGGGAAAGAGGTTGGTGGTGACCAGCAGTGCCCTTATAGTCCTGAGGACTGGGGCTTGGCCATGTGCTACCATCCCAGGTGAAGGCAGCATCTCTGTAACTCAGGGTTCCCGTGAGGGCTAGTGACTGATTTAACTACTAGGGGAACAAGGTGGTTTAAGGTATTACAAATCTGAGAGGGCTGACCTCTCTGAGCTCTTTTGAATCAGGCCAGTGCACTAGCCTCAGAAATAACTGGGAATAAGAGTTTCAGGTGGCAAAGTGCAAGCCAGGATCAGATAAACACTGTGAAGAAGAGGCTTGATGCAGAGGCTGAGTTGGTCTGAGGAAAGAAGTAGGCACTCTCTGATTGGCTAGCATGACAAGGCCAAGCCTGCCTTAGGGTTGTGCGGAAGTGTGTGCTGTTCGGAGAAGCACTGGCTAAGAAGAGCTGCTAAAGGGCAACCAGGTTGGCGGGGTAAACAAGAAGAGATCCTCTGTGGGGAATTCACACAGGACAGTCAGCGTACACCTTTGCTTTTTCTCTAGTTGAAAAAGCAAAGAAAGAGCTTAGCTAACCTTAAAGCAGAAGCAGACATTTGTGAAAGGCTTTGAAAGGAATAGCATATATTAAAAGACCAGTTAGTAATGGTAATTAACCTTGTATGACCACACACTTTAGATTTCTGAAGGTTTGAGGCCTGGCCATTTAAATGTGGCCACTGAAATCTATATATCAGATCATGTTTAGAATGAACTCTTTAACATGGAAAGTAAAGTACAGTAGTCAGTCATCTCTTGGTTTCTTCAGGGGATTGGTTTAAAGAGATCCAACAGATAACAAATTTACATATGATCTACACATCTCCAGGAATACTTTAAATAATCCCTAGATTATTTACAATAACTAAGACTATGTAAATATTATATAAATACATGTATTGTTAAGAGAATAATAGTAAGAAAAGTCCATGTGTTTAGTATAGATACACCTAAATTTTTTTTTTCAGTATGAGCTTGATTGAACCTATGGATACAGAGTCTATGGGTATAGGAGGCTGAATGCATTGCTTTATCCCCTGGTCTAGTTCTCAGTGAGAAAGAACTAAAAATTATCATTGTTATTATTGCTTGTCTTGAATTTTACTCAGGGTTAAACATTAAGGAAAACAAAGAGAATATATCCAACATTGTTCATTATACCTGACGATGTCCTCTCACAATAAGGAGAACAAATTACCAGGCTTTATGAAAAGTTATCCTGTGAATATACTAAATTCTGTGCCTTGATGAAATGCAAAGGGCCGTTCTTCTTTACACCCACTTGGCCAGTACAGAGAAGTGAGGTGGACCAGTAGCCCAGCCCCCCATAGCAAAGGAGACCTGTTGCTTGGGCATTGGACAACCAGTCTTGGTCCTTCTCTGCCAGTTGCTGGCTCTTTGGCCTTGAGCAAGTTGCTCAGCTCCTCGAAGACTTAGTGTCCTTGTGTGTAGATGGGGGTGATAGCACACCTGCCTTCTGAGGTGGTTGTGAAGAGTAGGTCAGATGGCCCATAGGAAACACTTTCCTAGGGCCGTCTGTGGAGTACATAGGGCTCACTGCTGCAGGAGTGATGGGGAGACAGTGCTGATGCCAGCAAGCCTGTGGACAGGGGTGGCTTAGAAGGCATGAATTAGCATTGTTAAGAGGCAGTCATCTTGCCTAGGATGCTAGAGCCACGTGTATTCCTTCCCATCATTAGGGGAAAAGGAAAATCAACAAAAGCAAATCTTTTATGGAATCATATTCTAGTTTCACCTGTCTTAGCACTACCTATAGCAGAGAAGTGACAGCATATTGCCAGTAATGTACCTTTTGTCCATTTACAGAGAAAAGCCAGAGAAACAAAGGACTAATTTGAATGCTTTAAAACTGGGCATTTATCTGGATAAATATGAAAAATTTGTATTAAATAACTTGAAAACAATGAAACAGCATATTGGAATTTAAAATAATATATATACTGTGAATTTCTTTCTTAGGAAAGCATCCATTACCACCTCCTTTGAGGTGGAGTATAAAAGTAGGAAATAAGGGTAAAGGATTGTTTGTTATTTGGAGATTATTTGTTAGAATATTGAGTTCCTACACTTACTTTCTTGATCTATGAGTGTCTTTGAAATATTCTTTTTCTGGGTTGTTGGAAGCCTGTGTACCTTGATTTGAAAAAAGGCCTTGCTTTTTATGGATTCTGTTTGGAAACTACTGAGTATCAGCAAGTTTGATGAGTTTACCCTTTCACACTATTGCTTACTGGCTGGGCAATCTCAGGCAGCCTCCTCAGCTGAAGGGTGGGGATAGTAGTGTGGTTGCTACGAAGACCCAAGTAAGTGACTTAGGGTCTGCAAGATCCGTGTCTGGCACATGGTGGCTGCTGTGTGAAAGTTAGCTGCTGATAGTGGTGTGACTTAGATCAGTGATGGCGAACCTTTAGAGCTTCCAGTAAGAACAAACAACCTGCTGTGGTATGCGTGTCATGGGTTCCTCACCATTGACTTAAGTAACCTATATTTCTCAAAAGATGGGTGGCACTAACTACCCCTGGGAGGCATCGCTGCCTCTGAGACAAATCCAGAGACAAAAGAATTTAAAATCCAGTGGTCAGAGTTTTCTTGATCATAATAAATAAAACATTTCACTGTTATAATACTTAATCTGACTCTAGATTCTGAAGCAAAATGAACTTTGTTCTGACATGAAAAGATCTTAAAATTTCCCTCTTGATTACTTAGTTAACTGGCACGTGAAATTTGTTAGTCATAACACCCACATCCATTTATTTTAAGATCTTGGTTTTTCAGAATTATGTTTTGTTTGAACTGCTGTAATTTAATAATGATTCTGATTAAGTTTATATAAAGTCATTTAGCTCATTTATCTCTTCAGTCTGGTTTCCCAACCCTCATCTCTTTTTCTCCCCCAAATCCTTCTAAAAACAAACAAAAAACCCTACCTATATCCTTCTGTAAAGAAAAAGCTGCTAATCTCAAATTCTTAACTAGATTACGCAGTTTGCACACAGTTTGGCTTGTCTTGAAGTTTGCATTTCACCTGTCTCAGAAGCAGACAGACTCGGCTTTCATTAGCTCTTAGAATAATACCTGCTGTCATGGATCAGGCATTTGGCAGCTCTTTATTTCCCTGTATAACATTCCAAAAGTTGGAAGTTGGGATATATTAAAACACTTTTTTTTAAATGAGGAAAAACCTCAAAAAGTAGTGACTTTAAGTGTGACATTGAGATCCTGTGTTGCTTATTTGCTGTAATTTTTTTTTTTTTTTTTTTTTTGGGGT